CCCACACCTCCTCCCGCCCTGACCCCGGCCCCCATCACACAGGCCGCCCACAGCGCCTCCTGACCCCGACCCCGACCCGACCCTTCTCATACAGGCCGCCCACACCTCCTCCCGACCCCGAGCCTCAGCCCCCCTCACACGGGCCGCCTCTGCAGCCCAGGATCCTTCACAGGACCCCACCTTCAAAAGTCCCTCATGCTGGGCAAGGTTCTGGGACCGGGACGTGGCATCTTGGGGACGTCATTCTGCCCGGGACAGTAGGCGAGGCAGAGAACCGTCTGCCTCCGGCCCTCTGCTGGCCCCCAGGGGTCGTTTTCATTTCGTTCAAAATATTTTGTAATTTCCCTTTCGATTTCTCCTTTGATCTAGGGGATTATTTTGGAATGTGATACTTAACTTCAATGTTTGGAGATTTCCCCAGAGGTTTTTCTGCTACTGGTTTCTCCTTTAGTTCCAGGGGGGCCAGAGAACACGATTTGCATGACCCGAATAACGTTGAATTCGTGCAGGCTCGTCCTACGGCCCAGAGGGGCGTCTCCCCGGGGAAGTGTTCAGGGGGCTCTTGAGATGGACACATGCCCTTCGGAAGTGGGTGGGGTGTCGAGACACACGCCACGAGGTCGGCCTCTTTCTGACACTTACTCTGTCGATTCTCGAGAGCTGCTGAAGCTCCCTGTTGTGGTGGACTCTGCCATTTCTCTTTGCGTCTCTAACAATTTTCGTTTAGGATGTTTTGAAGCTCTGTTATTGGGCACATAGAGATTTATGACTGCTACGGACTTTTGATGAACTGGCCTTTACTTTTATGAAGACTAATTTCCTGGTAGTATTTTCACTCTGAAATCTACTTTTTCTGATGCTGATACAGTCAGTCAGTTTCCTTTGTGTGAATGCTAATAACATGGTGACTCTTTGGTCAATGTTTTATCTTTAACCTGTCTGTGCCCTTATATTTCGGGTGGGCTTCTTACAAGCAGCACTTCACTGGCCTTGCTTTTCCATTCAGTCTGGCAATCTCTGCCTTTTCATTGGTGGGTTTAAACCACTTACATTTAATATAATTAATGATGAGCCTTGGTTTGAATCTACGTTGCTGTTGCTTTTCTGTTTTTCCCGTCTGTTCTTTCTTCTGCCTTCTCTTACGAGTGTTTTCATGATTCAGTTTTCTTCGTGGCTCCACAGCTGTAGGTGTCATTTTAGAGGTCGCCACAGGGTTCACGGCGCACGTCTCTGGCCGACCCCAGTACGCCTGTGTCACTTCGCCGTCTCGCGTGCAGCAGGAGGCCCCGACGACGGTTACCGCCACGGCTCTGCCTGCATCTGTGCTGCCGCTATGGACATTTCATTTCTGCACCTCACGAACCCCTCGAAACATGGCTACTATTTTAGTTTTAGGGGGTCCGTCACGTTTAAAATAACTTAAGTAATGAGAAGACAGTCGCTACGGTGATCCACGTGGTAACAAGGCCTGCTGGGCCTCGTCCCTACGTGTGGGTCAGGCTTCTGTCTGGTGCCATCGGCTGCCGCAAGGACACTTGGCACAGTTCTTCCAGCCCATGCGTGTCCGTAAAGGCGAGTTGTAAAATACATTTGAGATGTGTTTTGCTGGGTCCAGAATCCTGTTGGCAGGTCTGTCTCCTTTCAGGGTGTGGAAGCGACCTTGCGGCTTGCACCGCTTCCCACAAGGAATCCGCATCATTCCCTTCGTCCTTTGCACGTCACGCACGTTTTCTCTTGGGTCGCTCTTAAAGATTTTTTCTGTTCCCGCTTTTCAGCAGTTTGATGATGCACGTTGGAATTTTCTTCCTGTTTCTTGTGTTTGGCCTTTGGTAAGCTCCTCGAATCTGTGGTTTTATGTGTGGTTAAATGAAGGGTGACACGTAATGTGCGTCTCCCCTGCCTCTTCTGTCCCTCGGGGGCTCCGCTCACGTCGGCCACCGGAAGTTCTCTCCCAGCCCAGTGACACTCTGTTCTCTATTTTTCTCAGTAGCTTTCCTTTCAAAGGACATCTTCGTGTTCCTATAAATATTTTTTAGCTTTCTACTGGGAAACGCTTCAAGTCCTTCGCAGTGGCTTGACCCTTTTGGGTCTTGTGTCTAAGCTTCGTCGGTGGGACCAGAGCACCGAGGCCGGCCTCCTGTGGGTCTTCTAAATAACTGTCTCCGAAAGCAGGAAAAATATCAAAACAGGCCCGATAAATGTAAAAAAAAAAAAGTAACGATCTGAGCAGAGATCGAGAGAAAAAACATCAACGAAAGCACAAGCCACTAGTGCGGGGCTCTTACGAGCTGAAGTGCGGGAGCCCCAACCTCTCGGACCCGTGATCGAGGGCCCTGGGGTTCGCTTTATGAGCCACCTACGATGAGGTCACTAGGGTGGGCCCTAATCCAGCATGGCCGTGTCCCTATAAAAATGGGTGATTTGGACACAGACACGTCGGCAGGGAGAGTGCCAGCGATGACAGCCACCCACAGTCAAAGACGGGGCACAGAGCGGGCCCCCCAATCCCTCAGAAGGGGCCTGCTGGCTGACACCTTGATATCCACCTCCGGCCTCCAAGACTGGGACCCAGTGAATGTCTGATTTGAGTCGGCAGTTTTCTAGAAGGACCCAGCCAGTTCACACGTGCGTCCACCAGCGAAGTGTGCGTCCCAGGCATGCCTCCCCCTCACCCACACGTGGCGTGGCGTCTTTTTAGTTAAGGAACCTGGTCTGTGGTACCTTGTCGCGGCAGCCCGAGGGGACTAACTGGAGGGGAAGCAGGCACTGCCACAGACACACGACGCAAGACGACACAGCAGAAACCACTTCGCACCAATGAATCCGAAAATTCAGATCAGAGACAAACTAAGCAAAATGGTAAGAGCTGACCGCGGGCCCTTGGGGGTTCCAAGGGATGGTCCAGAGAGCCCACGTCCCACACGCCAGGCCCGGCCTATCGGGCAGTGCACCGTGAAGGCCCCATGCAGCCTGTCAGAGGACGAGGGGCGGGCGGCACAGTGAGCACGTCCTCCTGACACCTTGATGAGGACAGAGGACAGGGAGCAGCAGACGGGTGCTTCAGGCTTCACATGTGAGGGTGTGAAGTAGATGACGTCAGCCAGTGCTCGCAGAGCAGGCCACCCCGCCCCCCAAAAAACACAGTATGCGGAGGCAGAGGCGCAGAGACCAGCTCTGGGGCCGCCTGACCCTCCCGAAGCGCCTCCCATGCAGGTGACGCTGCGGAGGCTGGCTGTGGGGCCGCCCGCCTCATCCCCGTGCTAACCCAAGGCTTTTAATGAAAACACAACCGACATGACTAGTCAGGCCGTGAGGCGTCATCACACCAGACGGGAATCCCAGGGACACCCACAACGCGGCGGCTAGGGACAGGCGCTACGTTTGTTCCCTTAGCAAACATATGTAAACCCACTCACGTGTTCACCATGGGATGGGGCAAACAGCGTGTCTGAAACGCACTCCGTGTTGCTCCGGGCCAAGAAAATGTTACAGCCAGAGAAGTTTATTTTAAAATACAAACGTACATCCATTAAGCTTTAAAATAGTCAAGTATTTAAACAAACAAAAAAAGCCATTTGATCCCAGAGTCCACACAGCACGGAGCAGAGGCATCTGATGTGCACGCTGAGGTGGAAGCCACACCTCCCCTCTGCAGTGGGGGCACTGCGGTGACACGCACCACAGGGGACCTCAGCGCCAAGGTGACGTCCACAGGCTGGGGCGGCGTGGTGCTGCCCACCCTCCCCACACCACGGAGGGGCTTGGGGGCACACGCGGCACGCTCAGAGGTTTTGGCAATGCGGAGGCGGGGTGCCCGGGGAGCTCCCAAAAGTGTCCCAAGTACTTGGCCAGCTGACTCCGGGCACCCAGCGGGCTCAGTCTGCACGGGGCTTCTGCTGGGGCCGCTCCTCGTAGGACTCCCCGTACTCGTTCACCCGGCTCCTGTCCACGGGGTAGAGCCTGCAACGGCATGCGCCCCGTCCCGTGACGGAGCACCACGTCGTCCAAGCCCGCGACCCTGCACACTGGGGTCCGACCCGCCCTCCCGCTGCTAGGGCCGGGTCATACCAGAGCCCCAAGCTCAAGGCTGCCCAGAAAGTGACCGCTGTGCGGAGGCGGGGGCCGGGCGCGAGCTCTCCTGCCCGCAGAGGCTGGCCCGGACACGCAAGCAGAGCAGCGCCACTGCACCTGGGTGCCAACCGCCGCGACGGCCCCCGCCATGCCTGCCACCATGACATGCGGCCACCGCGAACCACCCCTGCCCCCAAGACGGCCCGGTGTGGCCGGGGTGGGACTCACCACCGCTGGTACAGGTAGACCAAGAACACCACGTCGTCCCTGAAGCACGCCAGGCGGTGGGAGGTGGGCATGGTGATGATGAAGGCGAAGACGTCATCGATGAAGGTGTTGAAGGCCTGGGGGACGGGGACAGGGATAGGAACCAGCCATTGGGGGTCACCTGGGGACGCCCAGCCAACTGCCCGGACCCCGTGCACTCAGGCCCAAGTCAGCAAAGCTCTTCACAGCAGACGTGCCTCTCAGAGTGACCACAGAGAACAGAAAAGGAGCAGGTGGTGGCTCTGAACGGGCCATGACATGGTGACATGAACCTCAGGGCAGCCTGACCCAGGTGGGGGGCCATGGGAGCCACCCCAACACCCCAACAAGTGACCGAAACGCGGCCCCTGCACTGCGCAGCGCTCACAAGCAGAGCACTGACCTTGTAGGTGAAGGCCTTCCAGGGCAGGTGTGCCACCGACTTCATCTGGAGATGAGACACGGTGCGGGTTGGGAGCAGGCCACAGAGCGCCCAGGCCACCGCCCCTGGGGACGCGCCTTACCTTGTAGTTGACGAACAGCTGGGGCAGCATGAAGAGGAAGCCGAAGGCGTACACCCCTGCGGGGACAGACGGGCTAGAGAGCAGGCACGCACCGCCCCGCACCGGACAGCCCGGGGGTTTGGGTCACGTGGCTGGGCGGCTCCAAACAGTGACTTCGGAGCAGCCTTTTCTTCAGTCACCCCAGGTCTGGCTGTCACCCAAAGAGGAAAATGCAGGACTCACCGTTGACAAAGCTGTTGATCAGCCAGGAGTACCAACTGGAAAGGGAGACAGAGCTGTCACCGAGGGGCACGACATCCCCGTCGGCTAGCACCTGTCATACTGACGATGGTGACTCCTCCGTGGGAGCCCTGAGAACCCCAGCTCTCCCAGGTGCCTGCCCAAGGCACAGTGTCTGTGAACTAGAGGCCCGGGTGGCCCCTCATGCCACCTGCCACCTGCTTCCGTGGACCAGGCTCGCCACGGGGGCGGAGACCGCGCTGAGAGTCCTTCAGAGCCGCCAGTCACCGGCAGCCGCTGCCATGCAGCTCGCATGCCCCGCCCCTCTCCACAGCCCCAGGAGAGGCCACCCACTGTGTGTCCCAGGTAACTCGCCCACACTCGCCCTGGGTATGGTGCTGCGGGAGCCAGACCTCTACGTGCCCACGGCTCCAGAAAAAGGGCAAAGGCACACGGCCGGGCGCCTGGCCCTACTGCAGTGGGGTCTCCCATGCCGGGGTGCTCCCACCAGCGTTCCCAACCCCAGACTGGCTGGGCCCCGGCTGTCACTGCAGAGAAGATGGAGACCCAAGGCTTAGCAGGTGACAGGGTGGTGGGGTGCTGTACCTCTTGTACTTCACATTCAGCAGCGAGTAGACAGCGCCCCCAACGCACAGCGGGTAGAGCAGGTAGGACAAGTATTTCATGGCCTGCGGGCGCAGAGTGCTGCCTTAGAGCCCTGCCTCCCGCCTTGAACAGGAAGCAAACGAGCGGGCAGGAAACCAGCACGTGTGGGCAGCTGTCACGGAGGACACAGCGTGGGCCATCAAACCCACAGGACGCACGGCACCCAGGGGCAGGCTGACGTGGGCTGTGATGCCAACAGCAGCTGGTCCGACCCGGCTCGCCCAGAACTCAACAGAGCAGAGCACACGCGGGGCGGGAAGGAGTCGGAAGTGGCTCTCCCCGGTCACGGGTGCGAACTGCTGTCTACGTCGCACCGTTGTGCCCGTGTGTATTCCCACTTGAACTTTATCATGACCCCAGTAAAAATTAGGATGCAAGCTGATGTCTGTCAAGGCAAAAAGCTATGCCCTCCCCTCCCCACCCAGTCCCCAAGGAGTGCGGGTGAGGGCACTAAGGGCTGTGGCTGGACACGCGGGCCTCCCCATGGGGCCACACGGGCCTGCGAGAGCTCACTCGCAGTGACCACAGCAGGCCCCACGGGGACAGGTCTGCTCATGAAAACGGAGACGCCTGACCGCCGTGCGGGAGATACATCCAGGAGCCCCCGCCCTACGCCCCCGTCGCAGTCTGCTCGGGACATGGCCCCGCCTCCAAGGAGACAGCCTCCCGCAGCGACCGTCTTCGGGTACTCAGCGGCCTGTCTGCCAGACGCGCTGCCGCCCACCTGAGTGTCGTACTCCTCCGTCTTCCTCTCCGACTCGCTGCAGGTGCCGAACTGTAGTAAAAGCCAAAGAGCCGCATCAGTAGCAGATGCGGGCAAGCGTCCGGGCACGACCCTGCCCTCCACCCAAGGGGCGGGGGACCGTGTTCCTCTGTACCCGGACCTAGATGGAGCTCACGCTGAGGCCTGCGCACGCACCCCCCGCCCCATGGCCTTTCACAGTGAAACTCCCGCTTGGCACCAGGACGCTCGGCCGCTGCTCCCACCAGCAAGGCAGGGTCCGCGGGCGGCTTTGGAAACAGCGCTGAGCCCCATAGGCCGAGCTCCTGTCCTTGACCCACCGGGACAACGGGAGCGTCCTGTGCCCTGAGGGTCCCCCAGCTGAAGCCTGCTGCAGAGCTGAGCGAGCTCCATGCCTGGCACCACACACGCCGCTCCCCGCCAGCCCCAACCTGCACAGGAAGCTCCAGGAGCCGGACGCGTCCAGGCCGTGGCTGGCATTTGGGCGGCTACCGCAGAAGCCCATTGGACCGCGTCCCTTCGGCCGGGACAGGGTCGCCTGCCTTCGGTGCAGACACCGCTGAGTCTGTGACCTGGGTCCCCGTGCGAGCCCAGAACTAGTGTGACCACGAGGGCGCTGTCCCATGTGCCGAACAGCAGTGATGTCATCAACGACAGCCACTTGCTCCATAGGCTTCCACACTGCATCGGGTGCAGCCACAGAGTGCCGGCACACGTGCTGGGGCCTGCGACGGGACGTGGAGCACGTGGGGCCCGACGGGGGGGGAGGGGGCACTGCCCGGGGGCTCGGCAGAGACTCACCTGACACTCGGGCCTCAGGCCTCTCCAGACGACACTCATCTTGAGAGCCTTTTTCACTTTCCACAGCTGAAGAAACAGAAGTGACACCTGAGGTTTCAACAGCAAGGAACCCCACCTGCTCGGGGCGCGCTGCCCGGCCCAGCTGCCCGCTGGTTCCCGGCTGCCCCTTATGGCTCCGGCACAGGCCCTGCGACTGGCCCCACGTGGACGCAGACGCCACCGCCTCCTCTCACAGCAACGAGCGGCCCTCAGCCCGGCGTCCTGCTCTGGGCCGAGTCCCCTTCCCGCCCCTGCCGGCCTCCAAAATCCCTGGGCACTCCCACCGCCCCCCCATGCCTCCCCTAGTTGCTTCACGGGGGCAGGGCGAGCACAACCTTGGGGGGCGGTCTCTGGTCTCCCCGCTGTGGCTGGCGGCCCTCCCTCATGGCATGGACCGCGCACGCTAGCCAGATGGTGCGCGCACTGTGGGGCGCCACTGTGCAGGCCACCTCCCCGACTCCTACACCCCAACCTGCACGCGGCGTCAGGGTGCATGTCAGCACACGTTGTGATGGGTGCGATGACCCAGTGCCCTTCCATAAGAACTGCAGGGCCACCAGAGGTCACTTTCCGGGCTCCTGCTCTGGCTGAGGACTTGCTGCAGCTGCGCCCCTGCCGGCCCGTGGCAGTGGCCGGTGTCATTCCTTGGCACCGACTGTCCTGAGCACTCAGGCCAAAGGACCACCGCATGTGGCAGCTCAGACCACAGCTCACCTCAATGGCGGCCCCCACGCCTGCCGGGACCAGCACCAGAAGGCTCGTCTGCTCGTCCAGCAGGAACAGGAAAATGACCACCGTGCTGAAGCAGCGCCAGAGCACTGGGGACAGAGGAGGCATGCTGACGGGGCCACCGCCTGCAGTGTTCAGCCCACCCCACCCCTGCCCTGCTCACCCCCCAAACATGGACAGCCCCCAACTCGCCCTGCTCTGCACACAGAGATCTGCAATCCCTCCCCCTCTGTGGCCTAACAGTGGACTCTGGGCTACACGTAGCTGAGAACGATGGGCTAAAAGGACTGTGGAAGGCTCCAGAACAGACCCGAAGGCCACCTCTGCTGGGCGAGGTGAGCATGCTACTCGGGGAGACGTGCAAACGCACAGCGCATGTGCTGACAAGGACGGGACTCGCCGTCCCTGTCGGGCACACTCTGCCATCCCCACGCCAGCATGTCTCCCCTCTGCAGCCGCGGTGGGAGGCGCGGAGCCAGCTGGACCGCCCTGCGGCCTCAGGGCCAGCTCTGCCTGGGCGCTCGCTGGGGCAAGGACGCCAGGCTGTCGTCCGTGGGCGTAGCCTCGGGACCGCAGCCAGCGCTGCCCACTCCCCTCCCCTCCCAGAGAAGGCGGGGCAGGGGCAGGAGGGCTCAGCAGTAACGGGGCGTCATCTCAGAAAACCAAAGGACAGAAGACTGAGACGCGAATAACATGGGGACGGGGCGCCCAAGCACCCCAGAGCCCCCCACGAGCGTGTCACTGCCACAGAAGAGGACCTGTCTGTCCACACGAGGCACGCGCCTGGCGAGCGGACAGACGGGCACTGAGGGCCAGCATGCGTGTGGTCGCTGAGCAGGCCCTGGCTGTGTGGCCTCTGCGGTCACAAGCTCTCACGACTTTAACCGAGATCCAGAGACAGTCCCCCAGTGACTACCCACGAGGCCGCGGGCCCCGCCGGGGCGGGGCGGGTTCGCAGCTACTAGCGCTCGTCAGGGTCAGAGCTTCAGGTTCTACACGCACGCTCTGCCCGTCTTTGTCGAGCTGAGCGCGCGCCCGGGAGGGCTCCAGGAGCCGAGGGCGTCTACCTGCTTTGGTGGACATTCCAATCATGCTCTTCTTCTTCTTCCAGAAACTGATGTCGTTCTTGAAGGCCAGGAAATCGAAAAGCAGCTGCACGGGGAGAGGACAGCAGCGTGCGTCTGGGCCCGTGAGCCGCAGCGCGCCCATGCCGCAGGGCCG